ATAATTGTGAAATTTATGTGTTACCAATAATAATTGTTAAATTTATGTTTTACCAATAATAATTGTTAAATTTATGTTTTACCAATAATAATTGTTAAATTTATGTTTTACCAACAGAGCTCTTCCATCGGAATTCCTGAGTATCCCGGGATCCAACGGAGTGGGAAGTTTGGGAATTTTCCATACCTGTAAGAAATGTAAAAATATGATTTAATTAGCAGAATATACTCCTAAAATCCTATAAAATCACAGGAATGGGACAGGGACAGGGACAGGGACAGGGACAGGGACAGGGATGGGACAGGGACAGGGATGGGACAGGGACAGGGACAGGGATGGGACAGGGATGGGACAGGGATGGGACAGGGATGGGGACAGGGACAGGGACAGGGACAGGGATGGGACAGGGATGGGACAGGGACAGGGATGGGACAGGGACAGGGACAGGGATGGGACAGGGACAGGGATGGGACAGGGATGGGGACAGGGATGGGACAGGGACAGGGACAGGGACAGGGACAGGGACAGGGACAGGGACAGGGACAGGGATGGGACAGGGATGGGACAGGGACAGGGATGGGACAGGGATGGGACAGGGACAGGGACAGGGATGGGACAGGGACAGGGACAGGGACAGGGATGGGACAGGGATGGGACAGGGACAGGGACAGGGACAGGGATGGGACAGGGACAGGGACAGGGATGGGACAGGGATGGGACAGGGATGGGACAGGGATGGGACAGGGACAGGGACAGGGACAGGGATGGGACAGGGATGGGACAGGGACAGGGACAGGGATGGGACAGGGACAGGGACAGGGATGGGACAGGGATGGGACAGGGATGGGACAGGGATGGGACAGGGACAGGGACAGGGACAGGGATGGGACAGGGATGGGACAGGGACAGGGACAGGGATGGGACAGGGACAGGGACAGGGATGGGACAGGGATGGGACAGGGATGGGACAGGGATGGGACAGGGACAGGGACAGGGACAGGGATGGGACAGGGATGGGACAGGGACAGGGACAGGGACAGGGATGGGACAGGGACAGGGATGGGACAGGGATGGGACAGGGACAGGGATGGGACAGGGACAGGGATGGGACAGGGACAGGGATGGGACAGGGATGGGACAGGGATGGGACAGGGACAGGGACAGGGATGGGACAGGGACAGGGATGGGACAGGGATGGGACAGGGATGGGACAGGGATGGGACAGGGATAGGGACAGGGATGGGACAGGGACAGGGACAGGGATGGGACAGGGACAGGGATGGGACAGGGACAGGGATGGGACAGGGATAGGGACAGGGATGGGACAGGGACAGGGACAGGGACAGGGACAGGGACAGGGATGGGACAGGGACAGGGATGGGACAGGGACAGGGATGGGACAGGGATGGGACAGGGACAGGGATGGGACAGGGACAGGGATGGGACAGGGACAGGGATGGGACAGGGACAGGGACAGGGACAGGGACAGGGACAGGGATGGGACAGGGACAGGGATGGGACAGGGACAGGGATGGGACAGGGATGGGACAGGGACAGGGACAGGGATGGGACAGGGACAGGGACAGGGACAGGGACAGGGATGGGACAGGGACAGGGATGGGACAGGGACAGGGATGGGACAGGGACAGGGATGGGACAGGGACAGGGATGGGACAGGGACAGGGACAGGGACAGGGACAGGGATGGGACAGGGACAGGGACAGGGATGGGGACAGGGACAGGGACAGGGACAGGGATGGGACAGGGACAGGGACAGGGATGGGACAGGGACAGGGACAGGGATGGGACAGGGATGGGACAGGGACAGGGATGGGACAGGGATGGGACAGGGACAGGGACAGGGATGGGACAGGGATGGGACAGGGACAGGGATGGGACAGGGATGGGGACAGGGATGGGACAGGGATGGGACAGGGACAGGGACAGGGATGGGGACAGGGACAGGGATGGGACAGGGACAGGGATGGGACAGGGACAGGGATGGGACAGGGATGGGACAGGGACAGGGACAGGGACAGGGATGGGACAGGGACAGGGATGGGACAGGGACAGGGATGGGACAGGGACAGGGACAGGGACAGGGACAGGGATGGGACAGGGACAGGGACAGGGACAGGGACAGGGATGGGACAGGGACAGGGACAGGGACAGGGACAGGGATGGGACAGGGACAGGGATGGGACAGGGATGGGACAGGGACAGGGACAGGGATGGGACAGGGACAGGGACAGGGATGGGACAGGGATGGGACAGGGACAGGGACAGGGACAGGGACAGGGATGGGACAGGGACAGGGACAGGGACAGGGATGGGACAGGGACAGGGACAGGGACAGGGACAGGGATGGGACAGGGACAGGGATGGGACAGGGATGGGACAGGGACAGGGACAGGGACAGGGATGGGACAGGGACAGGGACAGGGACAGGGACAGGGACAGGGACAGGGACAGGGACAGGGATGGGACAGGGATGGGACAGGGATGGGACAGGGACAGGGACAGGGATGGGACAGGGATGGGACAGGGACAGGGATGGGACAGGGATGGGACAGGGACAGGGACAGGGACAGGGACAGGGATGGGACAGGGACAGGGACAGGGATGGGACAGGGACAGGGACAGGGACAGGGATGGGACAGGGACAGGGACAGGGACAGGGATGGGACAGGGACAGGAGTGCAGGAAAGGCTGCAGGAGTGCAGGAAAGGCTGGAAATGTGCAGGAAAGGCTGGAAATGTGCAGGAAAAGCTGCAGGAGTGCAGGAAAGGCTGCAGGAGTGCAGGAAAGGCTGCAGGAGCGCAGGAAAAGCTGCAGGAGTGCAGGAAAGGCTGCAGGAGTGCAGGAAAAGCTGGAAATGTGCAGGAAAAGCTGCAGGAGTGCAGGAAAAGCTGCAGGAGTGCAGGAAAGGCTGGAAATGTGCAGGAAAAGCTGCAGCAGTGCAGGAAAGGCTGCAGGAGTGCAGGAAAGGCTGCAGGAGTGCAGGAAAAGCTGCAGGAGTGCAGGAAAAGCTGGAAATGTGCAGGAAAAGCTGCAGGAGTGCAGGAAAGGCTGGAAATGTGCAGGAAAAGCTGCAGCAGTGCAGGAAAGGCTGGAAATGTGCAGGAAAGGCTGGAAATGTGCAGGAAAGGCTGGAAATGTGCAGGAAAAGCTGCAGGAGCGCAGGAAAGGCTGCAGGAGTGCAGGAAAGGCTGCAGGAGTGCAGGAAAGGCTGGAAATGTGCAGGAAAGGCTGCAGGAGTGCAGGAAAAGCTGCAGCAGTGCAGGAAAGGCTGGAGGAGTGCAGGAAAAGCTGCAGGAGTGCAGGAAAGGCTGGAAATGTGCAGGAAAAGCTGCAGGAGTGCAGGAAAAGCTGCAGCAGTGCAGGAAAGGCTGCAGGAGTGCAGGAAAGGCTGGAAATGTGCAGGAAAAGCTGCAGGAGTGCAGGAAAGGCTGGAGGAGTGCAGGAAAGGCTGCAGGAGTGCAGGAAATGCTGGAAATGTGCAGGAAAAGCTGCAGCAGTGCAGGAAAGGCTGGAAATGTGCAGGAAAGGCTACAGGAGCGCAGGAAAAGCTGCAGGAGTGCAGGAAAGGCTGCAGGAGTGCAGGAAAAGCTGCAGGAGCGCAGGAAAGGCTGGAAATGTGCAGGAAAAGCTGCAGCAGTGCAGGAAAGGCTGGAAATGTGCAGGAAAGGCTACAGGAGCGCAGGAAAAGCTGGAAAAGTGCAGGAAAGGCTGGAAATGTGCAGGAAAGGCTGCAGGAGTGCAGGAAAAGCTGCAGGAGTGCAGGAAAGGCTGCAGGAGTGCAGGAAAAGCTGCAGGAGCGCAGGAAAGGCTGGAAATGTGCAGGAAAAGCTGCAGGAGTGCAGGAAAGGCTGGAAATGTGCAGGAAAAGCTGGAAATGTGCAGGAAAAGCTGCAGCAGTGCAGGAAAGGCTGGAAATGTGCAGGAAAAGCTGGAAATGTGCAGGAAAAGCTGCAGGAGTGCAGGAAAAGCTGCAGGAGTGCAGGAAAAGCTGCAGGAGTGCAGGAAAAGCTGCAGCAGTGCAGGAAAGGCTGCAGGAGTGCAGGAAAAGCTGCAGGAGTGCAGGAAAAGCTGCAGAGTGCAGGAAAGGCTGCAAGAGTGCAGGAAAAGCTGGAAATGTGCAGGAAAAGCTGCAGGAGTGCAGGAAAAGCTGCAGGAGTGCAGGAAAGGCTGGAGGAGTGCAGGAAAGGCTGCAGCAGTGCCGGGAAAGCTGGAAATGTGCAGGAAAAGCTGCAGGAGTGCAGGAAAAGCTGCAGGAGTGCAGGAAAGGCTGCAGGAGTGCAGGAAAGGCTGGAAATGTGCAGGAAAAGCTGCAGGAGTGCAGGAAAAGCTGCAGGAGTGCAGGAAAGGCTGGAAATGTGCAGGAAAGGCTGGAAATGTGCAAGAAAAGCTGCAGGAGTGCAGGAAAGGCTGCAGGAGTGCAGGAAAAGCTGCAGGAGTGCAGGAAAGGCTGCAGGAGTGCAGGAAAAGCTGCAGGAGTGCAGGAAAAGCTGCAGGAGTGCAGGAAAAGCTGGAAATGTGCAGGAAAAGCTGCAGGAGTGCAGGAAAGGCTGCAGGAGTGCAGGAAAAGCTGCAGGAGTGCAGGAAAGGCTGCAGGAGTGCAGGAAAGGCTGGAAATGTGCAGGAAAAGCTGCAGGAGTGCAGGAAAAGCTGGAAATGTGCAGGAAAGGCTGCAGGAGTGCAGGAAAAGCTGCAGGAGTGCAGGAAAGGCTGCAGGAGTGCAGGAAAGGCTGGAAATGTGCAGGAAAAGCTGCAGGAGCGCAGGAAAAGCTGCAGGAGCGCAGGAAAAGCTGCAGCAGTGCAGGAAAAGCTGCTCAGCTGCTGCGCCCTCCTGGGAGTTTGGAGGATGAGCGTTTGTGGCATTTTTTGATGTTTCCATGGGGATTGCTATAGAAACAATTATTCTACCCCTTCGTTTATTAATTGACTTTGTTAATGAACTAAAGGTAAACCTTCAATGGTTTGAAGAGATTTTGTTGTTTTTTCCAGCCTCGAGTTTGTGTTTAAAGGATATTTTCAGATAATTTAATCCAGTCAAAACATGAGATTCCACAAGGTTTAATTTCATTTCATTGCATGGTGGGAATGGAAAAACATCAAAAAAACATTTAAAGCATCAAAAAAACATTTAAAGCATCAAAAAAACATTTAAAGCATCAAAAAAACATTTAAATCTCACTGAAAAACCCCATTTTGAGATCCTAAAATCTCAGTTTTCAGTGATTTTTGTGTTTCTGCAGCTCAGTTTGGTCTTTGCTTAAATCTGGAATTCTCCTTAAATTAAGGAAATTTAATTTCCTTAAATCTGGAATTCTCCTTAAATTAAGGAAATTTAATTTCCTTAAATCTGGAATTCTCCTAGAGGGGATAAAAAGGGATGAAATTCCCAAGAATTGCAGAATTCCATGGAAAAAAACAGGAATCTCCATATGGCAGCTCTAAATCCAGTTAGGACGAGGAGCTGGAATTATATTTAATTGTTATTTTTAATATTTCAGATATTAAATGGAGGAAAAACATTGGAAGTGAGAGGAGGACAAGCAGACCCCAAACCCTGAGGGGGTTCAGATCATTTCATTGCATGGTGAGAATGGAAAAACATCAAAAAAACATTTAAAGCATCAAAAAAACATTTAAAGCATCAAAAAAACATTTAAAGCATCAAAAAAACATTTAAATCTCACTGAAAAACCCCATTTTGAGCTCCCAAAATCTCAGTTTTTGGTGATTTTTGTGTTTCTGCAGCTCAGTTTGGTCTTTGCTTAAATCTGGAATTCTCCTTAAATTAAGGAAATTTAATTTCCTTAAATCTGGAATTCTCCTAGAGGGGATAAAAAGGGATGAAATTCCCAAGAATTGCAGAATTCCATGGAAAAACAGGAATCTCCATATGGCAGCCCTAAATCCAGTTAGGATGAGGAGCTGGAATTATATTTAATTGTTATTTTTAATATTTCAGATATTAAATGGAGGGAAAACATTGGAAGTGAGAGGAGGACAACCAGACCCCAAACCCTGAGGGGGTTCAGATCATTTCATTGCATGGTGAGAATGGAAAAGCATCAAAAAAACATTTAAAGCATCAAAAAAACATTTAAAGCATCAAAAAACCATTTAAAGCATCAAAAAATACATTTAAAGCATCAAAAAAACATTTAAATCTCACTGAAAAACCCCATTTTGAGATCCTAAAATCTCAGTTTTCGGTGATTTTTGTGTTTTTTGCAGCTCAGTTTGGTCTTTGCTTAAATCTGGAATTCTCCTTAAATTAAGGAAATTTAATTTCCTTAAATCTGGAATTCTCCTAGAGGGGATAAAAAGGGATGAAATTCCCAAAAATTGCAGAATTCCATGGAAAAAACAGGAATCTCCATATGGCAGCCCTAAATCCAGTTAGGATGAGGAGCTGGAATTATATTTAATTGTTATTTTTAATATTTCAGATATTAAATGGAGGAAAAACATTGGAAGTGAGAGGAGGACAACCACACCCCAAACCCTGAGGGGGTTCAGATCATTTCATTGCATGGTGAGAATGGAAAAACATAAAAAAAAAACATTTAAAGCATCAAAAAAACCATTTAAAGCATCAAAAAAACATTTAAAGCATCAAAAAAAACATTTAAATCTCACTGAAAAACCCCATTTTGAGATCCTAAAATCTCAATTCTCGGTGATTTTTGTGTTTCTGCAGCTCAGTTTGGTCTTTTCTTAAATCTGGAATTCTCCTTAAATTAAGGAAATTTAATTTCCTTAAATCTGGAATTCTCCTAGAGGGGATAAAAAGGGATGAAATTCCCAAGAATTGCAGAATTCCATGGAAAAAACAGGAATCTCCATATGGCAGCCCTAAATCCAGTTAGGATGAGCAGCTGGAATTATATTTAATTGTTATTTTTAATATTTCAGATATTAAATGGAGGAAAAATATTGGAAGTGAGAGGAGGACAACCAGACCCCAAACCCTGAGGGGGTTCAGATCATTTTATTGCATGGTGAGAATGGAAAAACATCAAAAAAACATTTAAAGCATCAAAAAACCATTTAAAGCATCAAAAAAACATTTAAAGCATCAAAAAAACATTTAAAGCATCAAAAAAAACATTTAAATCTCACTGAAAAACCCCATTCTGAGCTCCCAAAATCTCAGTTTTTGTGATTTTTGTGTTTCCTCAGGTGTGATCCCACATCCTCAGCGGAATTTTGGGAATTCCAGCCAGGAATTCCTTCCCAATATCCCACCTAAACCTCCCCCTTGTCCATTTTTAGGTTTTTCTGCAATGGGTTTAAAGGATTCCACCTCTTTTTACCCCAAAAATCCCAAATAACTCAACACTTGTTGTTTCCCATTTTCCCGTGGCAATACACTGAATAAATTTCTGAATAAAATCTGCCCAACCCCACAAATCCAATTTATGGGATCTGTGGCTCGAGGGGCCAAGACAAGGAGGGATTTTTGGGTTTTTCTGCCATGGGTTTAAAGGATTTCACCTCTTTTTACCCCAAAAATCCCAAATAACTCAACACTTGTTGTTTTCCATTTTCCCCTGGCAATACACTGAATAAATTTCTGAATAAAATCTGCCCAACCCCATAAATCCAATTTATGGGATCTGTGGCTCGAACCAACCCCACAAATCCAATTTATGGGATCTGTGGCTCAAGGGGCCAAGACAAGGAGGAATTTTTGGGATTTTCTGCCATGGGTTTAAAGGATTCCACCTCTTTTTACCCCAAAAATCCCAAATAACTCAGCACTTGTTGTTTTCCATTTGCTGTGGCAATACACTGAATAAATTTCTGAATAAAATCTGCCCAACCCCACAAATCCAATTTATGGGATCTGTGGCTCGAGGGGCCAAGTCAAGGAGGGATTTTCTGCCATGGGTTCAACAATTTCACCTCTTTTTACCCCAAAAATCCCAAATAACTCAACACTCGGTATTTTCCATTTGCTGTGGCAATACACTGAATAAATTTCTGAATAAAATCTGCCCAACCCCACAAATCCAATTTATGGGATCTGTGGCTCGAACCAACCCCACAAATCCAATTTATGGGATCTGTGAGAGGCAAGGAGGGATTTTTGGGTTTTTCTGCCATGGGTTCAAAGGATTCCACCTCCTTTTACCCCAAAAATCCCAAATAACTCAGCACTTGTTGTTTTCCATTTTCCCGTGGCAATACACTGAATAAATTTCTGAATAAAATCTGCCCAACCCCACAAATCCAATTTATGGGATCTGTGGCTCGAACCAACCCCACAAATCCAATTTATGGGATCTGTGAGAGGCAAGGAGGGATTTTCAGGTTTTTCTGCCATGGGTTTAAAGGATTTCACCTCTTTTTACCCCAAAAATCCCAAATAACTCAGCACTTGTTGTTTTCCATTTTCCCGTGGCAACACACTGAATAAATTTCTGAATAAAATCTGCCCAACCCCACAAATCAGATTTATGGGATCTGTGATTTGAGGGATTTCAGACTCCCCCTGTCCATTTTCAGGTTTTTCTGCCATGGGTTTAAAGGATTTCACCTCTTTTTACCCCAAAAATCCCAATAACTCAACACTTGTTGTTTTCCATTTCCCGTGGCAATACACTGAATAAATTTCTGAATAAAATCTGCCCAACCCCACAAATCCAATTTATGGGATCTGTGGTTCGAGGGGCCAAGACAAGGAGGGATTTTTGGGATTTTCTGCCATGGGTTTAAAGGATTTCACCCCTTTTTACCCCAAAAATCCCAAATAACTCAACACTTGTTGTTTTCCATTTGCCTGTGGAATACACTGAATAAATTTCTGAATAAAATCTGCCCAACCCCACAAATCCAATTTATGGGATCTGTGGCTTGAACCAACCCCACAAATCCGATTTATGGGATCTGTGGCTTGAGAGGCCGAGACAAGGAGGGATTTTTGGGATTTTCTGCCATGGGTTCAACAATTCCACCCCTTTTACCCCAAAAATCCCAAATAACTCATCACTTGTTGTTTTCCATTTTCCCGTGGCAATACACTGAATAAATTTCTGAATAAAATCTGCCCAACCCCACAAATCCAATTTATGGGATCTGTGGCTCGAACCAACCCCACAAATCCAATTTATGGGATCTGTGGCTCGAACCAACCCCACAAATCCAATTTATGGGATCTGTGAGAGGCAAGGAGGGATTTTCAGGATTTTCTACCATGGGTTTAAAGGATTTCACCTCCTTTTACCCCAAAAATCCCAAATAACTCAGCACTTGTTGTTTTCCATTTTCCCGTGGCAATACACTGAATAAATTTCTGAATAAAATCTGCCCAACCCCACAAATCCAATTTATGGGATCTGTGGCTCAAACCAACCCCACAAATCCAATTTATGGGATCTGTGGTTTGAGAGGCCGAGTCAAGGAGGGATTTTTGGGTTTTTCTGCCATGGGTTTAAAGGATTTCACCTCTTTTTACCCCAAAAATCCCAAATAACTCAGCACTCGGTGTTTCCCATTTGCTGTGGCAATACACTGAATAAATTTCTGAATAAAATCTGCCCAACCCCACAAATCCAATTTATGGGATCTGTGGCTCGAACCAACCCCACAAATCCAATTTATGGGATCTGTGAGAGGCAAGGAGGGATTTTTGGGTTTTTCTGCCATGGGTTCAACAATTTCACCTCATTTTACCCCAAAAATCCCAAATAACTCAACACTCGGTGTTTTCTATTTGCAATACACTGAATAAATTTCTGAATAAAATCTGCCCAACCCCACAAATCCAATTTATGGGATCTGTGGCTCGAACCAACCCCACAAATCCAATTTATGGGATCTGGTCCTTTCTGGAACAAAAAATGGGGTGTGACACTGAGATTTAGGCAGCAAAAAGGGAATAAACAAATTTTTAGCATTTTCTTTAGGCCTATAAACAAATTTTTAGCATTTCTTTTGGCCTATAAACGAATTTTTAGCATTTATTTGGGCCTATAAATGAATTTTTAGCATTTCTTTTGGCCTATAAATGAATTTTTAGCATTTCTTTTGGCCTATAAACGAATTTTTAGCATTTCTTTTTGGCCTATAAACAAATTTTTAGCATTTCTTTTGGCCTATAAACAAATTTTTAGCATTTCTTTTGGCCTATAAACGAATTTTTAGCATTTCTTTTGGCCTATAAACGAATTTTTAGCATTTCTTTTGGCCTATAAACAAATTTTTAGCATTTCTTTTGGCCTATAAACGAATTTTTAGCATTTCTTTTGGCCTATAAACGAATTTTTAGCATTTCTTTTGGCTTATAAACAAATTTTTAGCATTTCTTTTGGCCTATAAACAAATTTTTAGCATTTCTTTGGGCCTATAAACAAAATTTTAGCATTTCTTTTGGCCTATAAACGAATTTTTCGCATTTTCTTTGGGCCTATAAACGAATTTTTAGCATTTCTTTTGGCCTATAAATGAATTTTTAGCATTTCTTTTGGCCTATAAATGAATTTTTAGCAAAATTCCCACCAAAATCTGTTATTTTAGCAGAAAACACAGAAAAAAAGTAGGAAAAAACAGAATTTTCACACACCTTCCAGCAGAAATATTGGAGTGGATAAAAAATACAAATAAAAAAAATAAAAAAAAATAAAAAGCAAAATAAAAAATATAACAAGAATTCAAAGAAAATATTGGATTTCTCCCCAAGTGCTTGAGCACAGTGTTTGTTTTTTGGGTGAAAATCCCAAAAATTCGAATTTATTCCAGTTGGAATGTGCCCAGCCCAGCCCTTCCGTGGGAATTTTGGGAATTATTAAAGACAAATTGCTAATTAATAAACCCCTTTGTCATCATTAATTATTCCCTGCCCAAAAATGCAACATGAATTTATTCTCTAGACAAATAACTAATTAATAAACCCCTTTGTCATCATTAACCATTCCCTGCCCAAAAATGCAACATGAATTTATTCTCTAGACAAATAACTAATTAATAAACCCCTTTGTCATCATTAACCATTCCCTGCCCAAAAATGCAACATGGATTTATTCTCTAGACAAATTGCTAATTAATAAACCCTTTTGCCATCATTAACCATTCCCTGCCCAAAAATACAACATTAATTTATTCTCTCAGCTGGTTTAAAAATTAGATGGGCTGGTTTGATGGTGATTATTCCATCAGTGGAAACTAGAGGGAAGAATTTTTTGGGAATTTTTGGGGGGATTTTTGGGGGAATTTTGGGAGTGAATTTTTGGCAAAATTTGGGAAAAAATGGGGAAAATGCGGAAAAAAGGAATTTTATGTCAAGCTGAAAATTCCCTTTTTTTTCCAATTTCCTACCAGTGAAATCCTCTGGAAAAGCAAATTTGGAGCTGCTCCTCCTCCTTCTCAAGCAGTGGTGAGTTGGCAGGAGCTGAAAATCAGCCTCAAAATTTCTGAAAAAAAGAACATTTTGGGAGGATTTATGGTATAGAAATCTCCTATAGGATGTGTTGTTACATCAGATAAAAAATTTGCAGTTTACAGCTCTGGAAAATTGGGATTTTTTCCCTGATTTCATGGTATGGAATTTATTTTTCATTCTTTCAATTTAATATTTCATAATATTCACAAATTTTTCCTATCTAAAATTCCATTATAAACCCATAAAATTCCCATCCAGCCCAGGTGATAAAATCCCATTATTAAAAATCCCAAAAATATTTCCCAAATTCACTAAAAACTGCCACAAAATCCATCCCCACGCCTAAAAAATGAAACTTTTGGAACTCCTGAGCTTCTTCCAAAAGGTTCAAACTCAAAATGCAAAGTACAAAAATAATTAGGAAAAAAAAATAAGGAAGTTTGGGAGAGAAAAATAAGAATAAAAAATAAGAAATTTTAGAAGTTTGTACCAACAAAGTGAGGAAAATTGGAAAAAAAAGACATTTTGTCCAAAAAATTAAGAAGTTTGTCAGAAAATTAAGAAGTTTGCTGCAAAATGCCCAAAATTCCTCCTGGTGCCACCCAAAATCCCCAAAATTCCTCCTGG